AACACTATACTCAACAGCAGGTAATAGCCAACGAGGCTATTTTGATTTCAACCTGTTTCTTATAGGTATTCATCCTCACGATGCAAAATCATACACAGACGAATCGTGGGAAGAGTTAAAAAGTTTAGCTGGAAATCCGGAATGTGTCGCTATAGGAGAGTGTGGACTTGATTATAATCGAAATTTTTCCGAGCCCGAGGAGCAAAGAACAGTCTTCCACAAGCAGGTTATTAACCTGTTAGACATACAATAACATTATGTAAATTTATGTTTGTTTCAGATTCAATTAGCATGTGAACTTTCTAAGCCATTATTTATACATGAACGAGAAGCTCACGAAGATTTGTTAGCAATTTTACGGCAATATTCATCTCGACTGCCTTCTGTTGTAATACACTGTTTCACTGGTACAACAGAACAAGCTCTTGCGTACCTCGATCAAGGGTTTTACATAGGACTAACCGGTTGGTTGGCTGTTGTTACTTCTCAAACTATATGAAACATTGTAGGCTACTTATGTAAAGATAAATCTGATACAGGTGTGCGTAAATTACTTGTGGATGGTACAATACCTTTAGACCGTTTATTGGTTGAAACAGATGCTCCGTTTATGTATCCAAACACACGTGCCTCTAAATTGCCTCCTCATGTTAAAGATGCACTAACTGAAAGGTACAGTACATTCACAAATCTTTTTTTTGGCAACTTTTACATACTTTGGTTTGCTATGGTACTTTCTATCTTAAATAAGTAGCATACCGAGAACATTAGTTCATTGTGAATTGATTTTTTTGTTACAGGTCAATGACATTTTTGCATCGCTACTGCACTTTTCAACGAAACGAACCTTGCTCTCTTCCTGCCATTGTTGAGATGATTGCAGCTTTTATGAACAAGAAACCGGAAGATGTTGCTTTAGCTACTGCCTTTAATGCCTTAAAACTATTTAATTTATCTCAATAAATTGTTATGTTACAATATTTTAAAATGACGCTTTTAACATGTTATCGTATACAGATCTCTAACTTTTGCGTTGTATAATTGGTGGCTATTTTATATTTATATTTTCATATATATGATATTTTGTTGTAATTTAATATTATGTGTAGCCAAAAACTATTAGTTGTTACTAGTTTTAGATACATATTTATTTTTTGATATTTTTCAGGCATTTTTACAGATGTCTGATGTCGGTGTAATTTTAATTGCCTAGTATTGCCTTTTTATGTGTGATATTTGACATTAATGTAAAACCAGTGCCTTATGTAAATAAATGTTTAAGTATATATTTTTTTTTGTGGGGAGAACCCCTAGACCCCTCTTCACTAAGGGGTATTCCCCCCTTCCGTCTTTCAAAAATGACCCCCCCTCCCCCTTAAACATAATCCCAGATCCCCCTGGTCCCTACATGAAGTAAAGAAAATATGATATGCTAGATTACCGTTCCAAATTCGACCAGTTGGCGCATGACGTCATGCGGAGTTTAAAATTTGAATGAAAAAGAGTTGAATTGATCAAAGCTATAAAAATGGTATGCCGAAAAATATGAAGAAATCATTACCTAATAATCACATTTAAAGATGCTTTACGCTATGATGCAGCGTTTTTCCAAATAATGAGTAATAATAATGGGGTATATAGTTTGCTCATTTAATCTCATCAAATAACCCACATGTACAAGGTGTCCTAACAAAAATGTGCCCAGCACTTTTGAATATTTTCGCCATTTTGGAATTAAATCACTTGTAAACTACTTTAATCCATTAGTTTTGGTATGTACATCTAACTACAGAACACCGCATTTTGTTGAAAACTAATTCACAAATTCCAAGAAAAAGTACCAAAAACGCAAAATCAGTGAAAGGCTCCGCATGACTTCACCTTGCGTAATTCATAACTCCGCCCACATGCGCAATATTATACCTAAAGTCACTAGATATAGTATAATATATACTATATTTAGTGACTTTAATTATACCTATCTTGTATTGTAGGTATCATATGCTGTGATTATGATCATAAGAGCTGCCAATAGGTCCGCAAATGTAAATTGAAGCAATTAATTTACTATTACTCACCAGAATTATTTTGTGAAGTGAAAATCCATTCTTCTATTCTTGTCGGAGATAAACTTTTCAATAACTTTTTCGTTAAAATTTGGTATTTCTTGCACCATCGACTTCTCAATTGCAAGCATTACAAGAGCACTTTCTCCACTTATGGTATCTCTTAAATAGGTCTCAACTAACTTTAATGTCGAAAAACACCTTTCCGCTTCACATGTGATCATTGGAAGAGTCACCAAAATTTTTAAAACTTTCACAACTTCGCCGAACGCACTATCCAAGCCGAAAGATGTTAGAAAGTTTAATGTGGGTAAACACCCGGAAAAATTTTGCCCTGTTATTTCACTTCTTGAGTAAAATATAGCTAGTTCCATTTTTAGAATTTCTTTGTCTATCATAGGGAACGCTTGAGAAAATTGATCAATGTCTTCCAAAGGCAGTGTTTTTGCATATATCTTATAATTTTCCCTTAAAAATAATTTTGCACCACATAAATGATTATTAAAAGAAAACCGAATTCTCAATTCTGACGTTATTATATCACATACTTCTTTTGCAGATATGTTTACATCTTCTTGATTAAGTCTAGGTCGCTTTCTTGGAACTTCTGTATTTACTGGTTCATTTTTAATGGGTGGTAATAAATTATTTCTAATTTGTGCAATTTCTGTTTCAAAATCGTTTATACATTCCTGGACTTTTACAACATCTATTTCAATTTTTTGTAGCTGACTATATAAAATATCAATATGTGGCATGACTTTTGAAAAAAAGTTTAACCAAAATAAAAATGAGTCATCTTCTAGCCATTTAATAAATCCCGCTGCTTGGGTAATCGTTTCAGAATTGTATTGTTTTGGAATTCCTGAAATGATATTTTCAAAACAGTCAATAAGGTCGTCTTTATTGTTGTAAACAGTCTGTACTATACAAGAGTTAAAATCCCATCGCGTTTGTGAAGTTTTTGGAAGGTGTTGAAGAGCTGCCATTCTATCTGGTGATTGAGAAAAAAAGGCTGATATGCCTTTTAAACTTGTAAAAAATATTTGTACACTACTGATACTCGAAACTGCTTGTTCTAATATTTTATGAAGCCGATGAGCGTAGCAATATACAAAGTGTGCATTTTTGTATTGTTCTCGAAGTTTCACGTTAACACCATTTAAATGACCGCGCATAACAACAGCTCCGTCATATGTTTGACAAATCAGTTTTTCAAAGCAATCTGGTAAAATCGGCGAAATCTGCTCTAAAATACATTGAGACAGTCCTTCTGCATCTTGACTTTTTGGATTTGCAAACCCCCAAAACCGCTCAAATATTTTTCCATTTAGTTCATAACGCAATACAACTACAGTTTGAGTTTGAGTTGATACATCAGTAGTGTCGTCTGCCATAAGTGCGAGATACGTAGATTCTCTAATTTCTCCAAGAATATGTTCACGACAAACCTCAAACATACATTGCAAAAGTTCATTCTGAATAGACTTTGATGTCCCTTTGAACACTCTCGCTTCTTGAATATGACTATTAAAGGCAATATCGACATTTGCCAAAAAATCCACCAATTCTAAAAATACGCCTCTATTTGAGGAGCCTTCTTTCTCATCGTGACCGCGAAGGGGAAGATTACAAGTTCCGCACAGTTTTAATATATCGATAATTTTTGAGAGTACCTGTCGATTTTTTATCACAGTCTCATTATGTTTTCGTTTTGCATCCGCACACGTTGCACTTAGGAATCTAGTAATATTAGTCTTTCCTAGAAGTTGAAAACTGACAAAATTATTTCGATGTTTGGCACTATTTTCGTGTTTTTTAATTTTTACCGAAAGGTGCTTTAAATCGTTTACGCCGTTTTTAGTCCAGTTATCTTCGCCCCCGAAAAGCAGACATACAAAGCAAAAGAACGAGTTGTTTTCCTCGCAACCACAAATCCAAAGAGTCTTAATGTAAATGGTTTTGTCAAATTTCCGCGTAAAAGCATTTTTATTTTTGCACTTCCGTTGCTCTTGCACGATATTTAATTCTGGCGTTGGACGACCATTTTCTTTTATTTGTACTTTCTCATTTAAGCTTAAACAACTAAATCTAAGTTTTTTAATTTCACTCACCTTCATAATTGCACTTTACAGTTCAGTCTAATAAAAATCTGAAAAATACTGTACATACAACGGATCAATATGTTTGAAAAATGCGGGAAACAATAATTTATTTAATAATTTTAGTCACACATATGCGCTACGCAAATCGCTGCGGGCGCAATGACCCGAGCCCGATATCCAATCCATGCAAAGAGCACGATCTCCCACTCCACCCGCGAACTTATGCATCGGTGGTTGCCATGACAACCGCAATAAATTTGGAGCGCCAGAGGAAGAGCCCTTCTCAGTGCTGTTAACACGAGATTTATGGCTACCATCGTTTGTTTTTCTTATTTTGGTTATTTTTTAAAAGCGGGAAATATCAAATGTTATTGTTTTTTTAAAGGATTAATTCCACTTTATTGCTTTTTTATTGTGAGGGAGGGCGGCGCGGCAGAGCTCCCCGCACCGGCCTCTACTGAGCTGATTACCGCAGTACAAAAAATAGAGTAATTAATTCTAATACCGACTTACGTTGTTCGTTGTCAGGCCAGGATTTGCGGTGGAATTTTTTTTCGAATTTCCTAAAACCAATATCAGATTCGTGATTTTCATGCTCTAAAACCAAATTTCGTCGAAAACAGAATTTGGGTGCGGGTGGTACGAATTTTGAAATTTTTTTTTCAAAATCGGAAGGAGCATACCCCCAAAGTACTGTGCCCAAAGCATAGTTGATCAAACCGCGCACCAACGACAATTCTACACGTACAGGCAGACTGTTCAGTTCAAACTGTCAGGCTTGCCAGACCATGTGTAGCCCGGCTTAATAATAGAAGTAAAAAAGAACATGTTTAAACTTATAAGATATAATTTATTGTTACTGTACATTAACTAAATAATTTCAATATAAAATATTGAAATGAATATTATTGTTTTATTACAGTTTGTACTGTTTTTAAATCACATACTACTTTCTACCACATAAATTGACAGGTAGTTACTTCAAATAAAATTATCGGGATCACCATTACAATATAACATTATTATCTTCAATGAAAGCAATTATACAAACTTTAGTAACCAACTGTCACTATACCAACAACCTGGATAACTGCCGATTTCATGACACATATTTGGAAATAAAAGAAATTGTCTTTAAGAATGACTATGAAGATTAGTGATAAGCTGATACTTTTAGTTTTTTTAGTCTTCTTGGTTGAATGGAGCTATCAGTATCGGATGTATCTGACTCGGATTCTTTAAGGTCAGAAGCATCTAAAGTGAATGACCCTGATGTTTTCGCCTTTTCTAACGTTCGTACTAAAAAACGAATGATTGTGAAAGATGAACGATCGTCACTTTACTTTTATACTTTGAGCTTCAAGTAAACTGTTTTGTCGCTTCAGATCTTCAATGTCTTGTTGATGCGCATTGTTTTTCCTTCTCATGAACTGGATATATTCGGCGGCCTTTTTCAAAATTTGAGCACGGCTCGCCTGTTCAGATATGAAAATTACTATTCTTGAGAAATAGATTTACCTTCTCTCCGCTTAAAGCAGGTACCGAGTCTCGCAAACTACTAAAACTATCCTTGATATGGTCACGTCGTTTACGCTCCAGCGCGTTGTGATGAGCTCTTTTTTCAGCCTAGACAAAAATATTACTTGATTAGAATTCTACAATTGTATAGGCATTCAAAATAGAAAATTTGTGTATTCTTGGTATTAATATCTGATTTGCAGTTGTTTATTAATAATACCACAGATTTAAATATAGTATATTTAAATCTGTGATAATACTGAGTTATAATTATAAATTATCCGTATTTTTGAGGTCTACTTGAATTTGGACCCCCCCTCCCAATTTAATTAAGAATTATTATTTACAAGTTATAGTAATTTTTGTCCTTCACTTAAAAAGTCATCCTCAAATTTAAACCATCGATATACATTTTAAAGTCACTATAAATATATTTCGCTGGTTCATGCACTACTAACAAGCATCAATGTGCCACTAACCAGATGTTAACAATCAGCATTAAATTGTGACAAATATGAGCTTGCTTTGAGACAATGGCCCGCATGAATAAAAGTAAGCAAATGCTTATACTTGCAAAATTCAAAGTAAAAACCCGGAAGTGCTCCTTCACTCTGGGCGACTTAACAGCGCTGCTGAGCAGAAGGACAGGACACAGTGCAGCGCTGCTAAACCATGCTAAACAGACCAGTATGAAGGGACAGTTACGAGTATTTACTTTGAATTTTGCAAGTATAAGCATTTGCTTACTTTTATTTATACATACGAGCCAATGGGAAGGTAAATCGGAATAATTTCTTTAAAATAGAAGTCGAACACTATCGCTGGTTTGTTGATTACTAAAGAACTAGAATAAGTTTGAGCCAACTTCACAGACATCAGGTATCATGTATCATCAGGTATGTACCTTATTACATTAAATTATTGACTTTACCCCAGAGACTTGCTATAACTAGACTGCGCTTAACGTATCTAAGCTGTTGTTGACACAGTATGCAACACACAATGCACCGCGGGGCAAAAATCGCTGAGATGATATGCAATATAATGAAATAAGCTGTTATTTTAGATGTTCCGTTCATTAATCATTCTCGTGATTGGCTCGAATTAGTGAAGATATGACAACAGGTGTTTATAGTAAAATCTACGTTACGCGCGGTCTAGTTATAACTTGTCTCTCTCTGCTTTACGCTAATATTCACATTTGTTTAATCTTATCCACTACTTTATTCCATTTTACCCTATCTCTTGCTCTGGTTTTCCACCCCCACACTCTTCACATCTGATCACTGCATCTAGCCACTTCTTTTTTGGCCGTGCTATTTTCTTTTTTCCGCCTGTCCCCTTCCAGCATTCTTTTTGCGTGTTTGCTTTCTTCCATTCGAACGACGTGCCCTATTTTAGTAGTCATTTAACCCTCTGAGCTCTTATGAACGTCACTATCGATAATTATAGAAAATGAAAAAAGTTCCATTTTCACTCATGAATTTTAGTTATATAGTAATGTAGAATTCCGCACAGTTTAAGAAATGAGATACCAACTTTTCACAAGATCTCCTTTTTTAAAGATCTTAATGTTTGGTGCTATAAATTTCAATTGTACACACTCGATTAGGTCAAATGATGTCACTGGCAGTACAGATTACTACTGTGTTGCGCACTGATAACTGAAACTTAAATGATATTTTTCTCACGGCCAGTTGCACAAAAAAAATAATCCCGGATTATTGTTTAATCCGGTATTAAGACATTTGATTGGCTTTATATTGCAGTAGGCAGCCAATCAAATGTCAAAATCTTGTTTAAACTCAGATTTGGTAAATAATGTCCAGTCAATTTGTACTTTCTGATTACAAAAGGTCCGGTAGAAGATTTTATTTTTCCGACTTGTAAATGGTAAAGAGAGTGAAAAATCAAGTTTGCCCATTCGACTGACGTCGGGAGAAATTTCTGTGGTCAAAAATCTGCAAAAATTTCTGCTTTTTTTCGATTTTTCTCAAATAACCCGCTAACGGCAATACTTAGGTAAAATCATCCATTATTAAAAACTGTACTGTATAAAAGTACCTTTAATTTGATATTTTATTTGGCCCCCCAACATGTATAGTTTATGGGATACACTAATTTAAAATTTCGTGTTTATAGTAATTTTTGAATATAAACCATCTTTTACGTTGCTGGACTTGAAAATAAATTTACACAAATAGATTACATATAGAAATAAATATCTAAATTTATTTATTTAATCTTTAAATTTTTGCTGAAATCTATTTTTTCAAAAATTAAATAACAACTTTTTTTGTATTAAGGCCATCTTACAAACTAAATTACGAGCTAAATTAGCTCAGGTTCATGACATTAGACATTAATTTTAAGTCTACCAACGTAAACAAGTAAAATGTGTCACAACTCTTATGCAGATAAAACGCATTTTTTTTTAAAACCGGAATAGTTAGACATAGGTAGACAATAGTCAAGGGACTAACTGATTTAATTTATTTGATCATTTGAACTTTCTGTGTGACTGTCTGTATTTGTCGCTCGTTGTCTACATTGGTTTGAAACAGTTTACTTTATGCTCCAATTTTACATTAGACTCGACATCGAGCTCGACATTATAGATTACCTACGTTTTTAGTTATTTTCCTATATTGCAAGGCTTTCTTTAAACAGAACCTCGAACAGAACACATCTTTATTAATGTACTAAAGTGTAATAATTGTTATATGATTAATTTCAAAAAGCACAATTTGGTGCTATTACTGGAAAATCTTGCAATACTATACTTATAGGAAAAAATGTAAAAGTTTATAATGTAAAATTGGATTATAAAAATATAGACCTAGTAAGGAAACCTCAAAGGAAACTTTTGATTTTTGGAAATCGAAAAGGGTTGTGGTTTGAAGTCTAGGCAACTGCCTGCTTAAAAATTTTATTTTGTGCCTTAACAGAGCTGGGCAGTATTCGATTTTGTAAATACTTTTCAGTATTCAAATACTTTGTAATTAAATACTTTTATGGAAGTAGTATTTGTATTTGTAACTCAAATACTTTCACAAATATTTAGTATTCGAATACTTCGCATAGTAATTGAATACTTTTAAGTTATTCAAATATTTGAGAACTATTTAGAAATGTTTGAGGGAAGGTTCCATTATCATAAAATCAAATATAAAAATCCGATACAACTGAATACCGAACGATCCTAGAGTGAAACTTTTTGACCCGAAAGTCTACGTAACTTAAAAACAATAGGGACCTTCAAGACCATGTGTACCAATTTTCAAAGCGATCGCACGTTTCTAAACAAGTTATCATGAACACGGACAGACGGACGGACAAAAAAGGAGCTGTTTCAAAATCGCTAGGACTAATTTCAGAAAGGTGTACTATAAGAAAGGTCCTGGTACCTCCTACATAATAATATGATAATAATAATACTACGCTTTTACTCCCATTAAATTTGTATATAACAATAGAAATATAAAAAAAAGCTAACCTCAGGGAAAGGGACTACATTCAGCGCACAAAACGCTGTTCTTCCAAGTAGCCCACATACAAAGTATAACTTGACATTTTTTAAGTAGTAGACTTTTATCTAGTACTATTATAAATTTTTAATGTATTTGAGTGACAAGTATTTGAATACTTTTTACTGTATTCGAATACTTTTCAAAGTATTTGAATACTTTTTATAGTATTCGAATACCTTTGATCTCGCCTTTGATAGTATTCAAATACTTTTTGAAAGTATTCTGCCCAGCTCTGTGTGCCTACCTCGAGGCCTACCTATATGAAAACCGATGACAACTAATAGTTCTGAAACATATAGTACAAGATATAGTACTAGTGCAGGTGCGTATAAAACATCAGTCAAAAATTCGGATTTTTAAAAATTTAAATTTTGAGTCATCTCATGTTTCTGATTTTTGAACTTGTGGAACTTTTTTACTGGAAGTAGGTATGTGAGTGTGGGTGCAAATGGAATTAGTACTTAACAAAATTGAGTTTTTTTTTAAAATCAGGGCTGTGTTTGAAGTAAATCAACGGCATGTTGACTACAATTCTCTAAATCTGTAGAACTACTGTGATGTAAACCGAGATGTAAACTGCCCTACATAGATTAAACCGAGGATTAAACACAACAGCTGTAGAAATCTATACTTTGTTGATACAAAATGCAGCAATGGCTCGATCCCGTGTAGTTCTAAGGCCGAGTCTAAAGCCTGCTTTAATAAAACGCGAACACTTGAATAGAACTAAATGGCTTATTTCTGATAACAAAACACCAGAGTGGTTTTGTCATGAATTGATGGAAGGGTTTAGTCCTCGATTTAGTCAATTTGCATATTAATTTCTATTCTTCTAGAACTTTTAAACCATCTGTTTCTCTATGTGCTACCACCTCAGCTACCACCCTTTCAAACTATAGTTAATGTGCATGGAAACAAATGTATTCACCTCAGTATTCACAGTGAAGGGTATCAGATAAATTTATATGAAACATCAAAGATCAACCTCAGAAGTATGTATCCACCTCAGCTTCTATAGAAATAAACCAATTAATGTAAAATTGATCTTGATCTAGTTGTTACTAAGGAATAGGGTCAATGAAAATATTGGTAAACTGTATAAATCAAGTAAAAGTGTTACAATGAAAACAGTTATTGTCAAGCAATATGTTTACAATACTGATGATAAGTGCTCCTTTGTGGTATGATAAAGTGATGTGTTTATAATGAACTAACCTGAGAATAGTACTGACTATTAGGTGTTTGTCTAGCACCTTGTTGTCTTGAATCCGAATCATTCCCCTCCTAAAAAATTGCATTGCATATACACATGCCACTGTTTAATATTGATCCAAGAATGTTTACGTAAATACAACCGAATATACTCACATCGCTTTCAACGTCAATGTCTCTATCATCATCACTCATTGTAAGTTTAGCACCCACTTTTTACAAACTTAAATAAAAACAAATAGATTCACACAAGTAAAAACATTACAAACTCCTTAAATAACACAATTGCACATTATCTGACGGTGAACGCTTAATGCGTGACTGTCACGCTGTTATGAAAAGCCAGGTTCAAACGATACTAATACTAATTCACTTTGTTCCTTTGTCATCGATTTCTGACAAATTTAACTTATTTTTTCAGCGGTTTGTTTCTCTATTTTGTAGATTCATTACGATTACGACGGGTTTGCGTTCGCATGTTACGGGAAAGTTGAATTTTTCAAATTCGAAGGTTTTTATTGTTTGAAATGGGTTGTGCAGATTGACAGTCAGGGGTACCAACCAAAATAATACAACTTGTTGTAGTCCACGTGTTTTCAACATATGCCAATATTTTGGGATTTTAAATTTAAATTCTTTCAGTGGCACAATATTTGTATTGTGTGTTGCAATTTTGTTATAAATATTTAGATCTCAGATCAAGAAATAATTTCTTGCTCTGAAATCTAAGCTCTGCAAGATAAAGATTTAAAAATTCTCCTATATACCTATCATTGATATCGTCCCCACTCCAAATTGATTTTCAAATGGCGCGAGTTACCTGTTTGGATTTGTTCAAAATATAAATAGCATACCTTTCAATCCAATCAAGATTAATACATAATTCTGTAACTTGTACAGCAATATTTGCCAACTTTGTTTCTGTTTTCGGTGGTCAAAGGTAAATTTTCCGTTTTCACGCCATTTATAAAAGAAGCTAGGTATCAAAAGTTGTCTGGCGAAATAAACTTGCCTGGAAACCGGGCCGCAACTTTGGGTAGGGTATGTCACGATCCGTAATGCGCACGTGTTTGGTGTGATAACCCCATATATACTTCTCTTATATATATGGATAAACCCACAGCGATTATTGCCAAATGCCACTGCTTCCATTGGGAATTAAAGAGGCTGGTATAAGCGAAATTTGCAAGTTGCATATTTGTTTATTTTAATTATTGCCCAACTTTCGTCGGGCATTTAAAAAATTGGTTATAAACTCATTTGAGTTGTTCCTCTCCACGGAAATCTTTAGTAAAAGGCGAAAGATTTATTCGCAATTGAAGAGAAACCAGAGTGCCTAATGTAATCCATCGAAAGGTTACATTCTATTCGTGCAACATCAGCAAATTTACTTTTTGTAAGTGTCGCCATCTATGAAATAAATCCAATATTGAATAGTATACAACTATAAATAGGTTGCTCTAACTTAAATGACAAATGTGAACGTTTGCCTGATGCATTGGTCATTTTGCAAAATGCCGGATTTCGTCGGTAACATTATACTCGTACACTGAATTTATTTTATATCTATCTAAATTCAATGGTATAGATTTCAATTTCGCTATTCGATTGTCCTTTGTGTTCTCTTCAATTTTTATAAGGGTGTCCCCATAGTTTTTAGATTATTCAATATTTTACACAAAGTACCTATCCAGATTAATTAATTACATGTTTATACATCTGAGTAGGCTGTGATAATAAAAAACAAAAGAATACCAGAAACTTTCTGGCAGAAAGTAAACAATAAGTATCACCCATTAATTAATTTGCTGCAAGTGCACTTTCAATTTCGTAATAAAATAAGATTAATTAAAAAGGGAAATTTCGAAAAAATTGAGACTATAAATTCGTAAAATCAAAAAATCTGATTTTTTCAAAATATTTGAAAAACCAAAAAATTTTTCAAGCATTTTAACCGCTTTCTTCTTAGAGCTTTGATTGCGCTACTTTTCCCCCATTTAAACAAATTTGTATCTCTTAGGGTTCTCCTTATCTCGGACACAGTGCTTACTTTTGATTTGCACAGCAGATTGTACAGTAATGATATCTGCTATGATTAATACAAACTATTTTGTAGGATTTAAATTAGCTTTAGTGAAAAGAAAAGTCACAATAAATATGATTGATTTTAAAACTTAATATACACTGCCTTACAAAAATTAGTACAAAAAAATTAGCTAATTACACTTTAGGTTTCTTTTCTGGTGGAGGTTTAATTTTCTCCTGTTTTACTTCAACTTTGGGCACTTCTTTATGTTCAGGAGTACCATTCTCTGGCTCGGTCTTAATAGGTGCAACCGTTACCTTAGGTTGTGGCGGTTGAGGTAATGGAAATTGCTTTATCAGTTCACCTAGGAGCATATCAACACGCTGTCTTTGAAATAGGGAGCTTGACTCCTCTTTCGGTTTCTCTTCCTTTGTCTTAGCCTTATCGGGTGCATTTTTTTGTGATTTAAAATCCCAAAAGTAGCCTTTACTGGGATGGTATCGAGAGAATCCGGCGCATTCTTCGAATGAAGATTGTATGTGATGGACGGCAGATAGCTGTGGATGAAGGTTATAGCGCTGTAGGCAGAATGCGATTAACTCACCAGTCGTGAATTTAATACACTAGCCAAATCAGGAGCCTGATACACGACTCCTGCGATTATGTAATAGTCTGCTAGAGGTGTCACTTGTGAAGGTGTATGTCGATGCTGTTTTCGTATCACATATAATATTGGTTCTTGTACGTGCAATAAAACATATTCTAATCCAGTCATATTCCTAAAAAACATTTACACAATATCGGAATTACCTACTCATAGCATACTGTAATTGTTCGGGATTTAACCGTTGCATTTTAACTATTTCATTATTACAGGTTCGATCGAAGAAGGGATTAGATCTCTCCGAGAAGTAGTCCATTACATTGGTAGTGTTTAAAATTGGTATCCACGCAGAGTCGTGCCATGATAACGACAAGGGATTGTCCGGAATACCTGGACCTAAACCTAATCGACCGGGTAACATTTTTTAAAGTTTGTTTATATTACACAAATGTTGAATGTTTTTAATTGAGCTAGTATAATTTAAGGTTATGTTGGTTTACAGGTGGGCTTTTATTTTTAACTTTTTTGTAATCATGGGTTTTTTAAATAGATTTTTCCAGAGATTGTATCAAAAAGTGAGTACGATTTTGAACTTTTATGGAACTTCTTTGCATCATTTTTAAAGCTTTTGCAACATTTTATTTGTACCTATTACATTTTTATCTTTTTATGTGCATGTGCACCCTACCTAAGTAGTGAGTGCAGTTTGCAAAATTCATTTTTCTTTTCACGCATGATCATGAATATATTTTTTAATTTAATATAATAATTGCAATACATCATTATTTCTGGTTTATCGGTTTTTTTCTCGTCATAGAAAGTGTGAATATTGGTATATGTACAGGGTAAGCCATCTCAGATGGGACTAATCTAAATGAATTAAGTACAATAAAAGCCTTATCAATAAGCTATTGTCATTTGTTTTTAGGTATTGTGACTTTTGAGCAGAAACTTAGTTTAGAAAATGTACCAAAATGGTGAGGTTTAATAAGACAACAAATTTAGCCATTGTTTGTGGTGTGTGGATTGTGTCCAAATGATATAGGCATTGAATAAGTATAATCATTGAATTTTATAACTAAATTCAATGGTATAATTACATTCAATGATATAGGGGACCATTTGTGTAAATAAAAGCTTTAGAAATTAAGACATTTTAAAGGTTCATTTTTGGGTGTCCCTCTACCTTATTTAGGAGGTGTATACTTGTACAGTTTATGTTTATGGGATTTTTTCTTGTAAACAACATGCCGAGTTTTTAATTGCAAGCAATCACCGCTAGATGCGCAACATTAACTCTAAAACTAAAATTCCGATAAATTAAGACAATATCAAGAACATAGCCAAGGGGGCCTTGGCGGGTACATGCCTACATACCCAAGGTAATTTGTGCAATGAAAACAATCGATACCTGAAAAGAATAATTATTTATTATTAAAAAATTGGTTTTCATTGGAACAAACAAAAGTTTGTGTCAACTCAAAAATATATCCGACATGAAAACTGAAGTTTTATTGTTAAATTCTGAGAAACTCACCTGGTATAGTATAGAAAATATAATAGATTATCTGTAGATTCTACAACACCAGCTCTTGTTTTGGTTTCGGTTCCATCCAGAATCTATTTTTATATGTCTTGGTTCAGGTTTTCTGGATATAGTAATTTTTTTATTCCGGTCCCCCATATATTTTTTCGGTTGGTAGAGTACAGTAAACATATTTTTTATTTGCAATAGGCGTGTTTTTTAGCTTCTCCTGTGTTTGGTGCATATGCTTCAAAAAGCGCTTGCCTATTTTTAACTTTTTATTGGTACTACTTGATCCACAACGGAATAAACATCTTTTCAATGTTTCATTGCAGAGATAATTTTAATGTGATGCTGTTTAATTAAATTTATATTGTTATGTATTTTTATGTTTGTGAAGCTGAAAGTAAACTTGAAGAAAAAGTTCCTTTTTATTTTTGATCAGATATTCTATTGGTTATAGATGTTAGTGGCGATGAAACAAATTTCAGACTTGAGAACAAAGCTAAATACTAACTTGAGTGGCTGGTACAACAAATACGAACCATATGTAGTGTAATCAGTCTTTCTGATAAACATATAAAATAGCTATGCAAACTTAAAATTTTATTTTTATTTTGCCTTTATTTTGAGTGGGCGGTGTTTCAGCCTTGGCTGCTCTACCAACCCAACTCACTATACATTTACAAAGATCCCTAGTAATATTTGAGGCGATTTGATAGACGGCTCCACCTATTGATGGAATTCAATCACGCAATTTTTCGCGCAGAACTGACAACGCCTTGATTTTTGGGTGGTTCATTTTCATGTACCTTTCTTCGTCAGCCGCATCGGAGTACACGTCGATTAAAAAAACAGCTGAAAGCGTAAGGTAGAACGCATGGAATTTATCCGAATATATATTGATCTCTGACGAAATTCGTGATTTGGGAATTCCAAAGTGATTATTTGGACTATTAGCTCTCTTATACAAGAGGTATGTGAAATTTTATGTCATCAAGGAGGGGGGGGGGTCACCTTTGATTCCTTTAGGGTTACATACCGATTATTGTTTGACGTAAAAGTTTTGTAACATTGGGCTAAATTCACCGTTACAGTTTTTTGTAATTGAAAATGATTAGAGAACTATACAAAGTGGAGGAACGACGCACAACGCGCACGTGTAAATGAACACAGAATGGCGCTGTGATATTCTATAACACAGCAGCATGCGCGAGCGGGGGGCTTCCCTTTTAATACAACATTCAATTTCAAATATTTTTGAGCAATCCTGGCCTTTTGCTTTGCAGTTTAAGTTGAGCCCTCTAGCGGTGGCTGTATGCAATTACATGTAAATAATTTTCTTTATAACAAATTTCCCTAAAGGGAGATATAACCACCTACATACTTTACCATAACACGAAGTAGGTAGGTATCTGAAATATATACTTACTGTAAGCAAATACTGGGTCCATGTGTTCATTCATCTATAATTCCATACCATCTCAACCATCTGTTTGTAGAATTTAACATAATATATCAACCTGCTTCAACACTTGCATGGTGACAAACATGACACAGTTATGTTTGCTTCAAAGACAATTCCTAATGGTCAGTTTAAGCAAAAAGGGGTAGTCTTTGGTTCAGGCTTTTGATTTCATTCTATTCATAAATTTAACAATGCAAACTACACAGTCTTATCCAACTGTGAAGTGGGCACTATTGCTAACTTTGTTATGGAACTTATAGATCGGCAAGTATGTCGCCTTTTTTATCAGGATTGAAATGAATTAATGGAACAGTACAGTTGACCATCAAGTTATCGAGAGATTCAACAACCTTTTTTTATGGAACAATTTCATATTGATCTTTAACACAATAACTCCCTTTTATTAATCAATAAGAGCGCCAAAGCCTATTCATATCTAATGTAAATTGACACAAGTTTAGTAAAAAATTGTTCCCAAACTAAAAGCTAAAGTCAATAAACAAGAAGTGTTGCTCTCAATTCATATAAAAAAATTATAATTCTTTAGGTTAACAGTCGAACCTCGCAGTTGAACACTTAGGATTAGGATTTTTGTTTAAAATGAGAGTATAATATTAATTCTAATTCCTGAGAAAAAATGTTTCATATTTCCGTATTTATATGTGTTTAATAGTACGTAAGTACTGACTTTAGTTGATTCATACACTTTGTATAAATGAATTTTTGGAAATAATTATACCTTTCAGGACACTGGGATTTAGAAGTTTTACAAAAATGTCACGATAACTATTCCAGTATACCTAACAAGCTTATATACCTATAATTAGTGTGGTATGAATGTAGGTACTGTAGTAAGAAGGTAAGGAAATGATTTGCGTACAACACACATTTTGATATTTACAAATTTTAGACGGCACTGGATGTTTGTTTAAATAAAGTGAGAGAAAATCACCGAATCATTCCATTTTAAGACTGAATTTTTGTATGATTTCTAAAATTATTCAACAATGATATGGTTCATAAAACAAATCTTAGGCATAGGTACGTTTAATTCTGCGAAAAACTGTTGCCACTTATTTTTAGGAAAATCAGGGTATACTCATATACATATAGATACAATGTGATCAAAAATGATTTTGCGTGACCCGGAATGTTGCTGGACGACGCGACACGACTCTTCCTCATCCCGAAAAGGCACACATTTTTGTACAAATAACTATTGTGTGTATGTGTGTCTTATAGTGATTTTGGAACAGCAAACTTGAGATTGATGAGGTGTATTGTATACCATAAACAACATCAGAAAATTCCCTTTAGCAATGTTGTTTTGCCAATAACTCGCAATCTTTTCTTTTGAGATATCGTGCTAAGAGACAGACATAACAAAATTATGAACTATTTATTATTATGCTTGTGCTAGGACCTCATATGGAGTCAGAGAATTATGTATTTATTCCCATCTCCAAAGTTATCTTCCAAATCTTCCCTTTTTTGTAATGAACATTAAAAAGTCTTAATTTCATGATGTTTCAGGAATGGATTTACAAGTTGTACCCATTCACAAACACCCACAATACAAGGAGCAATGTTGTAACTTAATCAACGACGAATGGAAGAGAAGTACCACTGCTCGAATGCGTAGCCTCGACAGCTCCTGTGACAACCTGCCGACTAATCTCATTCTTCTGAAAGAAAACAAAGTTATAGGCCACTGTAAACTTTCCGTCATTCCATCGATGAGAAATGCTTGCTTCGTGGAGTCTGTTGTAATAGATAAATTGTTGCGGGGTAACGGCTATGGGAAATATTTGATGATTACCGCCGAAGAATATTGCCGAAACATCCTTAAATTAGAAGTTATATATTTGTCAACGAAGGGTCAAGAATTATTTTATTCCAAATTAGGTTATAATGTCTGCCCACCGGTTTCTATATATGGAGGTAGTTTTTCAAGTGAAAGCGTACTTCAGTGTGAGAAAATAGAAAATGTGACAAACCCAACATTTCCTTGTCCCCCACCTTTACCGAAATATTCTTTTACAACCAATACTAAAACTTATATGAAGAAAGTACTTTAGTTTTCACATTTTTGTCAATTTATAATAATATACCAGTAAACAAACTATGTCAAATATAGTACAAAACCATTTTATTGTATAGTGTAGGTTTACATATTGTATTTTAACATTGATTATATTATAGTAGTATATTGTAATGTGATTTATAAATTCGGGTTCGATTTATATCAATATTTATTAAACAAAACTAAAACACTATAAAAACCGTACAATTTATATCGATTATTATATCACACACACTTCGCAATTTATTTCAGATTTTCGCGCTCGATGTTTCATACGTACTCGTTCCGTAGTAGACTAACTCCCGCGATGTTCGGTCCGCAACCATTTATACACGCAAGCAATGTAAGTCCCGAACATTCTAGAATACGCGTAGAAAATTCCAGAGCGCCAGAAGGCGACGTCATGTCTGGAGCATTTCCGTTACACTGCCCCCTTCTTAATTCTGGACGTCTCGTTCAGAAACTGCGTTAATATTACTTTTTAATGCCTCGTGTCGGAATCTGCAATCAGAGCCTGCTCGACAAACACCTTTCTTGAAAAAGTAACAGTCCACAGTTTTGCGGAGGGTCGTCCCCTGTGGGTTGAAGCAGCACTCTGTAATTCGAACGCTAGTGTTTCTAAAAATCACTTCGATCATGGTTCGCACTATCTTCCAGTCCAACCCATCTAAACCACATCCAATCTTCGGGATCGCCAAGCTATTTATGTCATAGATAGTATGCCATGAGTTTCTTTAAGCTTTTTAAAGCAGACCAGAGGTTTTCATAGGTGGGTTTGCCTTCTGACGTTTTCTTTGAAACCAAGTAGAACAAAGAGCGTTGACTATCTTCCAAGCGCAGTACTTTACCCACTCGTGGTCTTTGCTTTATCAACTCGTCTATTCTTCCAAATTTTTTCCGGAATACGGAAGCTATACCTCTACCCATGCGAAGGTCTTCGGCGACACAATGGGCGATGGAAACGTTAACCGGAAGCTCAAAAATATTTTGACAAATTTCCTGAGTAACGCCAAATCGAGCTTTCTTCCGCTGGGCGTAATTTGACATAAAATCGTTAAAGTTTGGCTCGATCCCAAAGCTGCGTTCCTCTTCTCGAGACTCGAATACCTCTAACTTCTTCGTTGTTGTTGGATCCGGCATATCGTGCGAGTCGATTAATGTGGACAACTTTCGGTTTCCGGTGGTTCATTCGATATATCACGTCATTTATTTTCTTGATCACCTCATACGGACCTTCCCATTGTCTTTGTAGCTTGGGAGAAAGACCTCTTCGCCTCTGTGGATTGTGCAGCCATACCAGATCTCCAGCTTCAAAGGTTTCATTGGCCGAGCGGAGGTTGTATTGATTTTTCATGCGATCGCTGGCAATCTGAATATGACTTCTAGCCAAGTCGTGAATATCGTTCATCTTCGCCTTTAGTTGGTCAACTTAATTTTCACCTGCGACATATTCTTCATGGGGTTTACGCCCAAACTCGAGGTCACATGGAAGGCGTAGTTCACGACCCAACATAAGGCAGGCAGGAGTCTGACCCGTGGTCTCGTTGACGGCTGATCGATACGCCATAAGGAACAGGTGGAGGTACTGGTCCCAATTTTTCTGATGTTCTGCCACGACTTTTGAAAGATATTTACCCATCGTTCGATTCATTCTCTCAACCATTCCATCTGACTGAGGATCCAAAGGTGTTGTTCTGGTTTTATTGGCTCCTACCAATCGACAAACATCTTGGAACAAAGCCGATTCAAAGTTCCTTCCTTGGTCTGAATGGATTTCTATAGGAACACCACAACGTGTAAAGAAGTCCTTTACCAACACTTCTGCAACTTTTGCTGCCTCTTGGTTTGGAATGGCGTAAGCTTCAGTCCACTTTGTGAAATAATCCATAGCGACTAGGATATATTTATTTCCGCCATCTGTCTCGGGAAACGGTCCTGCGATATCGATAGCAACTCGTTCCATCGGACTACCAACGTTATACTGCCTCATGGGTGCCTTTTTCTTGGAAACTGGTCCGTTTCCAGTAGCACATAACTCGCATTTTTGACACCATCGCCGGACATCTTCTTTACGGTTGACCCAATAGAATCGCTCACGTACCCTTTGCAACGTTTTCGTAATACCAAAGTGTCCTCCGGAAGCGCCGTCATGCAATTTTCGCAATACTTCCGACACTTTGCTTCTAGTACTATTAATTGCAGCGTCGATTCGGTGCCATCTTCACTTTCAAGGGTCCTATACAACAGGTTGTCTTTCAGAGTCAGGCTATTCCATTGGCCCCAATAACTCTTTACTTCAGGACTTGTGGCGCTAATGTCTTGCCAGTCTGGTCTTTGTCCGTGGCGCATCCAATTCAGAACAGTTTTTAAACTTGGGTCGTTTTCTTGGGCCGTTTTGATTTCGTTTGGCTTCCATTCCTCACTCTCTACAGTTGTTCGCCGCAGATGGCCAATCTTGTCTTCTATTTTAGAACAATGTGTGCAGTTGTCCTTGCACGGTCTTCTTGACAAAGCGTCTGCATTATTGTGGACTTTTCCAGACGACGAAATGTTTACAGTGAAGATCGGGGCTTTGTTTCTGCAGGTCGACGATAGCCCCTTCCTGTCGACCTTTCTTAGTTTTCCGACTGCTGTAATGGTTTTTGGCAGTTGCGGCGAACGTGTCCAATCTCGCCGCAATGCCAACATCGTGGTTCACGTTTCTTTGCCAGTGACTGTATTGCTTTATTGACCTTTTCTTCCACTACTTTACTGACCTTTTCTTCAAAACTTTCAGAACCACCTTCCTCTTCGATGGTTCTTACCCGGCTGTCACTGCGAGGTTCCACCATACGTACTCGCGCACTTCCATGACTAGCTTTCTTGGCGGCTTCGAATTCTAACGCATGGACCAAAGCTTTCTCAATTTTGTCGTGCCTAGCCAGTCTCAAAGCCTGCTGGGCATCTCCATCACGAACGGCATCGATAAATGTTTGTACAGCCAGTTGATCAAGAAAGCTCTCCGGTGCCGTAGTGTATGCCAATCGAATCAGTCTAGCGATGTCCGCTTCAAGTTCCTGCAAACTTTCTCCAGGTTTCTGCATTCGGTTCTTGACTTGGGCATAGTAAACTTGCTGAAGGTGTTTATCGCCATATCGCATTTCGAGTCGCGCTACTATTTGTTGGAAGTTCTGTTGATCCTCGGGGATAGTCCGCAACACATCCAGAGCATCTCCTCTCAAAGCAAGAATCAGGGCTGTAGTTTTGTCTTGAAGAGTCCATTTATTTGCCGCAGCCGCTGCTTCAAACTGTCGAACGTACGTGGTCCAAGGAATCTTACCATCAAAAGTAGGTGGCTTTATTCGGGCTTGCTGAACGTCGCCTTCTACTCTTGTATTTGTTTCTGAGTCGACCTTCTTGTAATGAGTAGACTGTGGCACCTCAAGAAGACGGCCCATCAGTAATTCATCTGGGGCACTACTAGTACGCTCTTCCGTAGTCAGTCGCAAGAATTGCTCGCGCAGCTCTTCATACTTGTGCTCAATCTCAACGAATGTTGCTTTAAATGTTTTGGAAACTTCCGTAAATCTATCTTCAACTTTTTCTTCGATAATCTTTCTAGAATTTTCTTCCAACTTCTCGAACTTCTCTTGAATATTTCTAGAATTTTCTTCATTAATCCTTCTAGAATTTTCTTCCAATTTCTCGAACTTCTCTTGAATATTTCTAGAATTTTCTTCCAACTTCTCGAACTTCTCTTGAATATTTCTAGAATTTTCTTCATTAATCTTTCTAGAATTTTCTTCCATTTTCTCGAACTTCTCTTGAATATTTCTAGAATTTTCTTCAAAATTTCTAGAATTTTCTTCCAACTTCTCGTGGTTGCTTTTCATTTCTTGTTGCAACACCTGTTGGCCATTTTGGATTTGCTGGAGCAAATTGAGCATCGTTTCTTCCATTTTAGCGGCAGCAGATCTTGTTACAGGCATACACAAGCAGAAGCACTTAATTTAATCTTACTTTTAATTTAATTAATTCCACACCTGACACCAATGTAACGTTATTTATAAATTCGGGTTCGATTTATATCAATATTTATTAAACAAAACTAAAACACTATAAAAACCGTACAATTTATATCGATTATTATATCACACACACTTCGCAATTTATATTTCCGTGCTCGATCTCGTTCGATAGTAGACTAACTCCCGCCATTGTTTAAATACTTTATTTAAACAATGCTCCCGCGATGTTCGGTCCGCAACCATTTATACACGCAAGCAATGTAAGTCCCGAACATTCTAGAATACGCGTAGAAAATTCCAGAGCGCCAGAAGGCGACGTCATGTCTGGAGCATTTCCGTTACAATATATTGCTTTAGTTGTGTTGTTGTCACAGTACCTACGTGACTGCAAGTCCATGAGAACAGTCCTGGTTTATTTGTAAAATCACTGCATGCTGAATATTGAACCGCCAGACCAACTTCAAGTGAAGATGTAGGATGCAATTTCATATAAAATTAACGAAATAAAGTTGATATTAGGCGGTCGACCTTAACGCAACGTTTTAAATACAGGTGCATATTCTTTTTAAATCAAAGAAAATTGCCACAGACTTCCTCATAGTAAAGATAAATCTCGTGAGGTTACGTATTGATTGAAAAGTAGCCATATTCCTAACGTTTATGCGCAAATTATCTATCTTTCTTAAATCAAACGAACTTAGTCTGACCACCAAATGCCCAAAATTGTTGTTTAATGTATTAACGTGTGTGCTTGAAGTGCCCAAGAGGGTAACGTTTGCTGGAAGAAAAGCAATTCAACGATCAGTTAAGATTGGATCTTTGGTACCCTACCCCATTGTGAAAACAATGGATTGTCTAAGCTGTGCTGTATACTTTCAATAGATTTTTATTCTTGCAATGTCAATTGTCCCAAAGAGATTTTTAGTCAGTGTAGCAGATTTCGGATACTGGACCATTTTGATTTTAACATTTAACCATTTCCATAGTTTCCATTCCTATTGTGTAGGTAATACATTTTCAAGGACATAATGAACACTATTCGTTAAAGGAAAACCTACATGTTGTAGTTCTTAGCCGAAATCAAGTAAGATTTAAAATTAATCTATTTTATGGCATAATGTAATTGGACCAGTAATCTTTGATGGAACTTTAACTGCTCACCATTATTTACAAATTCTCCAATAAACTTCCTTAGAGGATTTTAATACTAAGCGGGCCCATGTGGCACAAAGCTGAACTGTGGTGCTAAAGGTCCCTGGTTCGGGCATGGATATTTGTAAGTGTAAAGTGGGCTGGGTTGGTAGAGCAGCCTTGGCTGAAACCCCGCCCACTCAAAGATAAAGGCAAAATAAAATAGATATAATACCTCGTATCACTGTTTTAAATATTTTTTGGCGTATTGGAAAAATCCCTGCCTTTGCCCTACTAATGAAACAAAAATGCACTCATACACTGTGTGAAAGTAAACAGAAACAGGATCCGAAGTTCCCATTTAGAGCTTTGATTAATAATGTGCAATAAATACATTTTCAATTTTGTAAACTGATTTTTTGATACTCGTCTCCTCCTACACAATACAAGACTAGCGAATTATATTATGGCCTACCATGAAACATTGGTCCCAGATTGGCCCTCCAAAATATTTATGGCGGCGCCACTGTTACAGAGACTGGTGGCACGTCTTTGAATAGGTTTTGGAGTATGCCTTTTCCGATTTTTTTACTACCCCCTATTGTTAAAAATGTAATGCATTGCAAGAAACTATGAAGAAATTTACGAAAATACCGTCAATGTTTAACCAATAATTCCTTGCCTTTGTTATGCTTATGGCAGCAACACAAATGGCTCAAATGTTTTAAGATCATCTTTCCCAGGCAGGATAAGGTGAGAACATGATACAAAATTGTCATATTTTAATAGTCTACATTCAATGCTTACAGAAAGTTTATGGGTTTTCATCTTGAAACAAAAAGTCCAAGAACAAGTCTCATATAAGAACCTATCCTAAGAAAAATTTTATCAGAAGAAACCAACATCAAGTGGAATTAAGAAAAATCTATCGACTACATGAATTTGAGAATCTATAATGAATTATGGAATTCAAAAATATCTATCAACACCAAATAGATACTTACAATCTAAAAATCTGCTCAAAATAATACTGTTGCAATACAAAGCAGTCACAAACTTAAATTTATATAAATATATAATTCTTATATCTCCAAATTTGGTCATCTATAAGTTAATAAATCTGAATATACTTACTATAAAAATAACTATTTTCCTCGCTATTTCCACTTCGATAATATACTTTGTAACATATATCGAATTAAATATGTACTTAGTATATTTAAAAATTTAATTTTTGGTAACCAAAGCTGCGGTATAAAATTATCTGAGCAAAATACTTGAAGCACCTTTCATTTTATGAAATGTTTCCTTTTGTATCTTCCAGACTCTAATACTTAGTAACAATTCCACAGATCTTTCCGTAATGTTCGGGCTGTGTTAATGAGTCTATCAAGAATTTTCCTAAGTCATGTTTCGATACCATTTTTCCGCCTGGCGGTAAACTACCGTGATTAACTTCACAAGTTGTTCCCTTATCATCTAAAAGTGCCGGTACAACATTCTGAAATAATGAAAATGACTAAAGTACCTGAAATATGAGGTGGAAAAACTGCAATGTAATTAAGCCCAGATTCTTGCAAAACATCAAATTCCCTTTGATGATCTTCGTTGATTTTACAAAATATTTTCGGCACTTGCTCTGGTGCACAGAAAAGAAACGCAGATAAACAAACAGACACAATCTGTACATTCTCTTTTGTCATGGCTTTAATTATATTCTTCATTCCGTCACTTAACATTGTGGTGGCACTTAAATCTTTTCGAGTACCTAAGACGACAACAACAGCGCTAACATTTTTTATTGCATTATGTACGTCGGTATAGTTCAACACGTCCCCCTTAACAACTTCTACACTGTTTCGTAGGTGATCCGGCAATTTCGTAGGATCTCGTACGAATGCCCTTACATTTAATCCTAGAAATGGAGCGTGAAATGCGTATTTACTTTGATTGCACGTACCTTTCTGCACACCAGCTTCGACTGCACAGATACCGGTATTGCCTGTAGATCCGAATATAACAATTTTTTCCATTATTACAATTGAGACTTTTGAAAAGATAACCTAAAATCTGCTTTGTTTATGGTAGCGATTGCCAACTTTAGAAATTCATACGCCCAGGTTGTGATACGTGTGTTGGAAAAGAATAACTGTCAAAAATATAGTCGTCTTTGTCCGGTAGACGTGAGATTCTTCGCGTCTACGTTGCGAATAATTGGACAATGAACTCTTGCTTGGAACTGGAACTCTTTGTTCAGGTAATTATAATCATAGTTGAAATTAAGAAAGTGTTATTTGTGATTATATAAGTACAATACCTAAAAACACGTAGTTGGGTTGGAACATGCTATTCCTCTCGACTTCTAGGTATTACCATTGTTTAAATAAAGTATTTAAACAATGGTATTACTATGACACGGCGAGTCGGTGACTATCACAGTACATAGTGCCCAGACACATTAAAAATTACCGATTTGCATGAAATAAATAAAGCGTACTTTAAATCATTACTTATTTCAAAGTACATCAGCACCCCTAGGGCTCTAGTGAGGTGCTTGCGGTGGTCGTTGCATCCCATAGGAATTCAAAAACAGATTATCATATTCATTACCGTGTGCTTATTTTAGTAGTTACAGGGAGATACCACAGCTTACTCACTGAGCTGGCTGAAGGACGTGGGCGACCTGAAGGCATCTCCCGTCAAAGTGTATAATAGACAGGTGTTCGCGCAGCTGTACGTTCAATACGCGTGTAGAGAGGCGCGAATCTCACATTCACGAAGTTGGAGCGAGAGGTGGAGAGAGGGATGCAGTAAACAGTCCGTACTGCGGGCGTGGCGCGTACTTCAGAATACTTTAATACGTCCTTCGTTTACCTTTTATCGCATTACTGCGAATATTTTTATTTTTAACATGGGTAGAAAGTGTTGTGTTCCTAGCTGCAAAAGTGGGTACCTGTCGTGTACCGAGAAATACTCGGTATTCAGTATCCCAGGAGACAAAGTACGGAAATTTAATAAGCTAATTCCTAGAAAAGATCCCAACATAACTGCTAAATATTATGTATGTGAAAGACATTTTGAGAAAAAATTCATAATACGGGAAATTAAAACTGAGTGCTATTCCGTAAGTACCTATAGGTTTTTATATCGTTTTTATTGAAATAATCGTTTAAATAATAGTAGATTACATACCGAGCTGGGAAGTGGTTCATTACCTACGCCGAGGGCTTATAAGCACGAGGCGTTGGTTATGAACCATTGACCATCGAGGCACAGCTTCGAGGTTTGTATACTATTTTATTCACAATCTGACTTGTATAACAAATTCCACCAGTGTCAGCGTAAATGAAATTTGAAATCAAGTCCAGTCTCGAGTCCAGCATTGGCGTGCAAGTCGGGAAGTACTTTGCTGACCTCGGCGAGGTTCGCAAAATATGTCAAACAATTGCTCACTTCCAAACTTCAAAACAGTTGGCAATTGACATATTACATACTTACATAGTGGCGGAAAAGTATGGAATCAGCGAGCTACAGCCTTAACCATTCGTTATATTGTAAAAAGTGTGAGATGAAAGTTGTTTGATATTATATTATGCATGTTTTGACGTACACGGATATTTTTTCGAATGACGTCATTTCAAGTTATGTCTTGTTGATCATATTTTTTAAATTGAACAACCTGTATTTTTTTAGTTTTTTATGATCCTCTAGACGAGGTGCTTCAAAATGGTATAGGGTTTTAACACTGAACTTCTCAAATTTTAAGATATTTTCGTTTTAATGTAATGAAATCAAAACATTGAGAAATGCGTATGTATTTCATATTTCATCTGATCTCCGCACCTAACCATCATTGAAAGTGTTATTCGCTCTTTCTCGGATAAACGAACCATTTTACTAAAACTGACAACTGACACTTTAGACGTTATTGAGTAGTTTTTCATGAGCCAATTATTGATATAAAAACTCAAATATCTTGAAATCTGAGAACTTCAGAGCGTTAAAACCCTATACCATTTTGAAGCACCTCGTCTAGAGGATCATAAAAAACTAAAAAAATACAGGATGTGTAACTTGAAATGACGTCATTCGAAAAAATATCCGTGTACGTCAAAACATGCATATACTCGTATAATATCAAACAACTTTCATCTCACACTTTTTGCAATATAACGAATGGTTAAGGCTGTAGATCGCTAATTCCATACTTTTCCACCACTCTCTGTATATGATTGTGAATAAAATCATTTGAAGTGAAACAGTGAAATACAAAAATATAGCATTAACTTTTGGTTTCTAGTACGCTTTGGATAAACCTCGCCTAAGTGACGATGCTGTTCCCACTATTTTTCCAGATTGCCCATCGTATTTGTCGAAATTAAAAGCCAAAGAGCAAAGGCGAGTAATTTGGGACACTCCTGTAAATAAACGAAAGCGCTATAATGCTGGAAATAATCCTGGAAGTAGCAGTACTAGTGGTTATGATTTTGGTAACGTCCTTCAAATTCTCTATATTTTTATTTTTTTATCCAATTAATTTTAGCATCTGATTCCTCAACGAACTTGGTGGATTTCGCAAGTAAAATAAATTTTAATAAGGACATCAGTTTACCATCAAATTGGGCCACTCACTATTTACAATCAAATCTCGCCTCATGTATTATTTATTTTTCAAAGGTGGTAGTTTATGAAAGCCGTCCTATTACTCAAGTTAGTTTAATGTTGGAAAAAGCAACTTTAAAATGCTTTGTTTTTAACAAAGATACCAACACTTACAATTTGGATCATTTAAAAACTGTTCAAGATTTTAAAACATATATAACTGACACTATTACAGCATTTGACAATTTTTTCTACTGCTATGGATATCCGAACTCTAAGGTACCCTCTCATTTTTGTAATAAGAATTACCTTAAAGATTCTTATGTAAATGTATGGAGACATTCAAAATGCTCTTACTTTACTGAAACTGTTTCTACAAAAAATACAAGAGTAAATAGATGTACCCAATGCAGGAAAATTAATAGGTGTTTATAGCTACGATCTTAAACGAATAGGTAAATTTGTCGCAAAATCAAAACGAATGCAAGAGAGACACAAAACTGTCTTAACGAAAAATATGAATAAAATTAATGAGACGACGTTAATGAAAAAAATAGATGACCTAGAGAATGTTTCATCCAAATGTGGCAAATTGGCGTAATATAAAAAAATCCAAGATGTTGGGGTTAATAAAAATGATAATGATACCGACCGGACAGCATCTGCAGATAAACAAGCAAATGATGCTCTAGTATTTATGTTTCGTTCATTCGCGGAAGACTGTAGAGTTATGTCAACCAGTAGCAGTTTTTGCATCTAAACGACCAACGCCAATAACGTTGGTGTTGGTACAAACTTACCCTTGTTTACATATGCAGATGTATGTTAACATGGTTTAAACAAGCAGCTCTCTAACAAGATACAAAGGGTGCGAAATTGCTGTATATGGTACGTTTGTAACATAACATATATAGTCATAGTGAATAAAAGACCGTGTTACCTACTTGCTTAACCAGAACCTTACACAGTTTTCATAGTTACGGCACGCGAACTACGGACTTCGTCATACCAAAAGTTAACACACAAGCTTGGTACACGTCGTTTTATGTCTAAGCCCTGTACTATGGAACTCATTACCATCCAATATTCGGCCAACACGTGATTGCAAGAACTTCGCTCGATAGTGCTTTCAGATTTTATTGTTACATCAGAACTTTAAGTATTGTTTTGTTTATTGCAGCCCATATTTTTCTTTTCTTTTTGAAATTGACTGTACCTATTTTAACGTACTTATGCTTACTTTACGTAATTGCCTAATTTATTGTTGTTTTCATGCTTAGTTTTGTTAATGTATCTATTGACATAATATTGATTTACTTAATATTCTAATGTACCTTGCATAAACACATTGCTAAGGTAATTTCAGTAAAGAAGCATGTGGTGTCTTTATCCATGAAATAATATCGGCAAGTACAAATTCTAATAATAATGTGCTAATATGAATAACTTGCAAAAATATAATATACTACTTACCTGTGGTTTTGTATGTAAGAATCAAGGATGCTATATTATAATATATATATATATAATAGTATTATTGTGTAAGAATTTATAAACAAGTAGGTAAATGTATGTATTTAATTTTGTAGAAAACACGTTACACAAATATATTACATCCTTACTGCTACGAAAAAACATTTGAATTTGTTCAAGTCCATTTAGAATTGATTTTTAGCTCATTTTTGCAAATTTATTTGTAAAAAGGTAGCTTTTAATCTCACTTTGACCGGCGGGCTGGCTCGCAGCAAATGCGGGGCGGTAGAAGAACGCTTGCAGGAAGAGGAGAAGTGTACATCAGTACATGTACCTACCAGAGTCGAGTAATTAACAACTTTAGGAACGGGGCTACATGACGTGGGGTCAACGACATCTGGTCGTCATTCTCGAGTGTGTTATTAGTTATTACTAACCTGGAGATTTTTCAGGTTTTTTACCTATCTTCTTCTACAGTTTTGGTCCAATTGTTTTCAAATTGGTGTCGTCGGATAGATCGGCGGAAACTAAGCAAGTCCTTTTTTATCACTCTGTATATACCATAGGTGGTAGGTATCTGAAACACCGAACCAAATACGTATTGGTTACCATAGCAACAAAGCAAACTGTGATTGGATGCTGGTAAATATAGCAACCTTACAAAACAAACAATAGTTTGATGAAATAAAAATTAATTTCTTGAAATGGATCTTTGAATGCAAAGCTGTTGTGATAGACGGCAAGGTTTTTGGTATATCAAGTGGTTTAAGAATCTACAATGTTTAAAATTATAACTATAAAAACCGCAGTTGTACGAAAGAACAATTCTGTGATAACTTTCGAGAGCGAACAAGAATTCAATTCTCAAGAGACCCTCTCCAAAAGGCCCATACAGAATGAAAGTTTAGATTCTTTTGTAGGATTTTCGCTAAATGAAAAGTTAAACTCCAATTGTGTGGACAATGTTGTTGATAATGTAACCTACGTAAAGGTACCTGCTAAGGCAGAGCCAGATTCAATCGATTCTGAAGACTCCAATTCCTTGCTAACGGACTATAAGTCATATTCGAGCCATGAGTGTTATAAAGCACTGCCGGCTGAGGTTTTGAATATAACCGTTATGGTCAGATGTCAGAATTGCGATACAAATTTTCCGACTAAATATCAGTACCAGAGGCATCAGTGCGATTTTAATGCTGAAAAAGTGGTAAGACATTTATCCCTAGCTAGTTTTTGTATCATTTTATTTATACTTATTTGTATTGCACTATTGAAATGTACTGAAGCGGAAGGTACCACACACTTCAAGCGGAATGTATTTTAATAAGTTTTAATATGTTATTTATTTTTATGTTATCCTCTTGGGTCCAGGGTCATAGCTGTCTCACTGAGACTCATCCAATGGTGCCCCATTGGACTTTACTGTATCACTAATAACCTCGCTAATAACGGAGTAATTGAGATTTCAATTTATTTCAGAACTATAGGCAAACCGTAATAGATATGAAAAAATGTATAAGAGATAAATTGTTGAGGACTAAATTTATGTACTAGAAAAATCAGGAGAGCATATTTCTATTTTCGACCATTTTTTAATACTTAATACATATTTAAATACTTATGTTTTTCTCGAGGTTTTTCTGTGATACACAATTGCGAGGTGGTGTGGCGTCAGCAGTCAATATGTTTTTTTTAATTCATGCATAGGTAATTATTGTATTCTTAATTATGGTGAAAATGATACGAGATATAAAGAGATATATAAACAACTTTTTGTCGTGATGTAGTTTTACACAAATAAACTCTGCCGCAGCGTGTATGTATCTTGACTCATTTAGGTACAGAGGCGGATCCACGGGAGGGGCAAATGGCAGTTTGCCCCCCCAGGGACGAAGATTGTAGGGTTCGTAGAATAAACACTAGGTACCTCAGTCTGAAAAAAATTGTCGTGTGATTGTTTTCAAGAAGGCACAATTCGTTGCACCTTCTTCCAATGAGGGGGGTTCACCTGTTAAAATCACAGTGTTGCCAAGTCATAGACAAAGTGTTATTAAGAACATCTAAGATCTACAACAAAGGCTTGGTATGTAAGGGTACTAAATTTACTGGCAATTTGTCGGATAGGTATTCTCGCACGATTCGGCCGTTGTGTGCGGGTGTACCATCCTGTTCAAACCAACAGTTTCCAACTATTGTGTTGTGTGCCGTATATCGTTCGTATTGTGTTGTGTGCCGCATATCGTATTAGTAATACAACACAATACAGTGTGTACTTTTTTTACGGACCATATTAAAAATAAAGTTGATGATTTCTCCTAAACGAAATGTTATATCCAAAATCTCTCAACAGTGTCTTGTACAGCTCAAAAAATGGCAATGAGAAAATATTTTTTATTTTTCTTATATTTTTTCAAATAACATCAGATAATAACAAAAATCTTGGCAAAAATGAAATCGGCAAATTTTCGATAGAAGCTAAGAATTTGGTATCCTCTAGAAGAATTACGTATACAATTTTCGAGTTCCCATGTTTTCTTCAGTCATTGGGCATATTGCGGAGTGTAGTCGTAGAGTGGAACTAACGAATGTTATAGGTAAAGTAAATGTTGACGCAAGTGTTCGTAGTACAGGGAATATTCCCACTCCATTGTAGGTATAATTGCCGGTCTGAGGATAACCTTGTGAAGGCAAGAGTAAGTTTGAATGACCCAGAGTATATATTGCAAGTGTTTTTTACTTTGCTCAGGAGGATGGCCAGATTGGCGATGATGGTCGCGCGGCGGTCTTCATTGGCCCTTCTGCGAAACGTAGTTTTATAAATTGGCGACAGTCATTTAGAAGGTTGTCGTTTTGTCTAATATAATTGCATTAATTTTAAACTACATCACGCCATTCTTTTGCAGGTTTTAAAAGCTGATGCAGATTTGAAAGATGTTGACAGAGGAGTGAGAATTAAATACTCGTGTATAACGTGCGCTAAACAATTTGTAAGTAAAAACAATTTGGAAAGACACCAAAGTAGCCACGAAAAACTGCAAGAAAATATTTGTGAGCATTGTAATAAACAATTCGTTAGCGAAAATCGCCTCAGGATCCACAAAGAAAACCACTGCAAGAAAGCGGGAGATATATCGAAGTTCTATCGCAGCGATGTAACTGTGTGGAAATGTACGAAATGTAGTCAAGTCTTTTCAACTCCAACATCGGCAACATACCACGCCGAAGGTTGTATAGAGAAAATAGACACCATCAAAATTGATTATGATTTCAATTCTCTAAACGCAGAAGTAACAGAGTGTCGCAAAAGTGAGGCGCCAATTGAAACACACTTGCAAAATGTAACAAAAATACTAACTGAACTGCTACTGCAATGCGAATACTGCAATCGTACCTATGCAGATAAAGATCTCTTGGTGGCCCATCAAAGACGTCACACAACGAAGACAAATTATGAATGCATCACCTGCAATGGCACGTTTGAGTCGTATTTATCTGCTACCAGACACTGGATGACCAAGTGTTCGGATGCTGTGAATTTATTTTATCTTCCAAAGATGACATATTGCGATCTCTGCGATCGTACCTTTAAATCCCACGAAATTCTGTACACTCACAAAATGAAAAAGAAGCACTACAGGCCGAAACCACACCTAACTGATACTAATTTGATCGAGACCAATGATGAGTCAAAAGATAAGTTAGTGCAACTTATCAAAACTGTATTAATAACTTTGGATACATCTATTGACAAGAACAAAGATGCAGAGAAGTCTGCGGGCAATAAAGAAAATGATGCACCGATTGATAACACTGATAGCAATCCTTCCATAGTTGAGCAAAATGAGCCGACTAAAAAGAAACGTGGTCGTAAACGCAAATGGCCAAAGCAAGATACCAAAGTCAGAAATTTATCTTGCGTGGCTGAGGCAGGTTATAAGTATCAATGCGAACGTTGCGTAATGGTATTTGACACAGTTACTGAATTGGAAAGCCACCGTGACAGAGATCACGCAGCGAACTTTTCGTGTGAAGAATGTGGACAGGTGAGTTATAACACGAAATTCCCTTTCTTAGTTTTTGCTTGCAGGTGGTTCACAGTGCTAAAGCTCTGGTAATTCACAGCAGGGCGCATCAGCATTTAAAACCTTATGTCTGCGAGCAGTGTGGTAGAAGTTATTCGCAAACGTCTCATTTGTGGCAACATATGCGTTTTCATCAAGGTTTCATTTGCCGAATATTGTGTGTCGGTTGTTTCTGATTGTATCTGTTTAGGAATCAAACCGTTTGCCTGCCCCCATGAAGGTTGTGAAGCGCGCTATACTATTCGACCAGATTTAAAGGACCACATCAGGAAGGTTCATACACGCGAACGCCCCTTTAAGTGCACAGTCTGTGGAAAGAGCTTTCTGACTGGATCTGTTTACTACCAGCATAGACTAATTCATACAAATGATCGTAGATATGGTTGTGACGTAAGTAACCAACTGTCGTTGCGCATGTTGTGAATAATATTAATGAACCTCTTCTAACAAACACCAAACAGATATGACGGGAGCCACTGCATAATAAGTGTTCAAGCATAGCTAATAAATTCTTTTTTTAGATTTGCGCAAAACGTTTTTTCCGTGCAGATGCTTTAAATAATCATCGTCGAATTCACACTGATGAAAGACCATATCCGTGCCTCATTTGTGGTAGAGAATTTCGCCAAAAGGGTGATAGAAATAAACACGTCCGCACCCAACACCCTGATGAGTGAAAGCTGTTCATATCACTCTATTTTCAGTAATTGTTGTTAGTTATTACAAATTTATTAACTGTTAGAAATTTGTTGAAATAATTTAGTTAACTATATTTTATTAATGTGTTTGGTAAGTGCACTTTCACAGTTTCACCTATTTGTTTAACAACTCAAAAGTCTGTGTGTTGTTTATCTGAAGTAACGTTTAGAATATAACAAATACTCTTACATCATGTGTTTCATTTAGACCTCTAGTTCCTTCTTGCATATCAAACCAGATATCTCGAATCTTGCTCAACGAATTTGTTTTTGTATATATGTATTCACGTAGAAGCGCATTATCTGTATGATGTTCCCATGTATGTTTGAATAATCGATTCTTCTGTGGCGGGTGTACCTAATACAGTTCCAATTCTTCGCTGTATATGTTGCTTCCTCATCTCGTACATACTGCAGCTCTTGTGTCTTAGCAATACGAGAGGGGGACCCGCTAATTAACTTTTTTTCGGTTTAGTATGTAGGGCGTGGATGTGAGATGATGGACTTTTACATGAATACTTATCGCTGGCATTTCCACATGTACCTTTAGTGTTGAATTAAATGGCAGCCCATGGTGGAATAGAGCCATACCATTTTGACGTTTTTTTATGTACATGCAATTTATCATGTTATGGGTTGTTTTGCCTAAATTGAATCGTAGATGTTTTTTGATGTGCTTTATTACTAAACTGATTTATTGCGTTTTCCATTTGCATTTATGATGTCTCTTGTATTGGTATATGCCAGATATGGTCGACGGTCCCAATTGTTACTGCTAACTCGAGGTGTTGGATTTGTGTATTTTTCCTATACGAATCAATCTTCACATCCACTTTGCTTTTACAACCTTTGATGTATTGTACTACGCTATCAGTAATAAAAGACCTTCTAATATATAATTTATAAAAGCTAAACAATGCATCATACACAATAATTTATAAAAATATTTGTACACCAGAGTTGTTTGTGAATACATAGGTATAAGGTACATATTAATACATTCTCTTCCATATATTAAAAGTCAGACTTTCATCTTACCTTAAATTTACCTGATGTCATGGCTCCTATGGACCAAATATGTTTAACGGAAACATGAAAGTCCGACCCCAAGAGACAAAAATTTTTGAATCACAGCGACAGTGAGAGTTTCAAATGAGCACACATGAGCAAACGTATAAGGACATAAATGCTCAAATGAGTATATAGGTAATTAAACACTATTTAATAAATGTAGATATTTAGTATTAGTAGGTAATATTGGTAGGTACGTGTAAATAACATAAATATTGGTATTATAAAGTAGGTAGGTACTACATTATTTGTAAAATTAGAAAACAAAATAAATCTTGTCTTAGAGTATTTACTCCACTGGTCATGATGCAGAGCATTTATAACCAGCGGGTTGAGTTCACCAAGGGGGCTGAGTTGAGAGAATGTGTTTGTTTCAATCTTTTTTTAACGATTTTTCGAATTGCATGTATTGCCTTACTTGTCCAAAGAGTATATTTGCAAACTCGGCATGGCGATCTCTTTCATCTTTTAAGCTTCCGCCTAACAGATTGTCCAATTTATAATTGCTATTAAAGTTACCTACCATGGGTTATTTTTTCCATTCTCCTCATTGATGGATATTTACAGTAGGTAAGCACAGAGTACTTTGAGCAAAGGGAGGGAAGAAAATGCAAAAAATATGACTCTCGGCGGTAAGCGTTTTATACCATATGTTGTTTCTGTGTTTATTCCTTTATTCACTTTGCCAACTGTAGCACCTACTTCTTCAGTTACTAACTGAGGGTATCTTAGTGACACAACAGGACGCAGGGGTTCCATATCTGAACATCAAAAAACAATTAAAAAATGAATTAGGACTGCGATTTTTGAACAGAAATAGATAGGTAGCATCCCTGAATGCAAATATTGCGTCTTAGTTAAATACCTATAATGGTATGGGTATTTCTTGGTGGTGTGGTAGTACGAACAGTAGTATTCGTTAAACTGGGACCCGGCGAAATATTTCCTGTAATTCCTAGAATTAAATCAAATATCGCGTCTAGTTAAATACCTGTAATAGTATGGGTATTTCTAGGTGGTGTGGGGATACGAGACGAAATATTTCCTGTAATTATAATAAGGTAGGTATAATTAAAGGCATCATTTGGAAAAACGTGAATTAGATACACACAAAAGGAACGATTTTAATTATGATTTCTAGAACCATTTCAGTACAGTTGTGAATTACGTGAATAATCGAGTTTTATTTGTTTGAGAATGAAGTAATGGACATTCTTTTGCAGCAAGGAAATTATTGAAAATGCATCTAGAAATTTCAGGCCATGAATTTTGTACCACTATGTTACAGATACTTTGACTATCTTCAAATACTGCAACTGTAGCACTGGTAATAAATATACCAGTAGCCAGGGAATCTGATATATTGCTTATCGCTGCTACAGTTCGAGTCGGCACCTCCCAAGGAACGTTACTATAGTTACCCTGTTTACATGAATAGAGTGGCAAACTTCAAGGATACAAAGGTATTTAAAAGCAACACGTTTTGATTAGTTTTGTACCGATTACGTCTATTCCTTTAAACAATTCTGCTTCTGCAGTTCCTCCACGGGTCGACGGACCAGGTGCTTCGGGTATTGCTCGCGGAATCCTCAATGCGGGAAACGCGGGCTCTGTATTAAAAACAAAACAGGGATGAAAATTACAACAAATCGAGACGAATTGCAAAAATCTAAATAAGTAAGTATGATGAAATTATTAGAATGTATTCTATCAGAACTGCAAAAAAACTTGGTACTTGGTTTATCACGGAAACTTTTCGCATACTGTTGTGCACCAGAAGGTCCGAATACATATTCTAGAATGAACAAATTGTGAAACTTTTACGTTTGTTAAAGCGTAGTTACCGCGGGTAGTTGTTCCTTTATCCGTGCGCATTTGCCGTTTAAACTTTTGAAGAGCGTCTAAACGTGCCTCACATATCTTCATACGTTTTTGGAAAGATTCTGTGGGCAACAGATTTAAGCGACTGTGTTTTAAGGGTTAACTGTATCACCATCATTCTTTTCTAGGTCTATTAAATTGAAATCAGACTGGTTTGGAACGGGGTCGAGGGTTTGATAATTCCAATCCTTTGCTATCATTTCTAATAATCAATAAAAGTGCAGGTCCTCTAAGTTACAGAAAGTTGAATTACCTTTGGTTCTTCTTCTTTTAGTACTACTTATGTCAGGATCAAACGTAAGGACACGAGCTTTTAACGCTCTTTTCCTTTCTGTAATAAATTCATAATTTCTTACAATGCAACTCGATCAATCGTTTAAAATTCCGACACACATGCTAGTGAAACCTGACTAAATGAAACGTGGGATGTTATAAATTACTGAAATCAATTCGAGGAGCGCGCCAAGCTAATTCATCGCGGTTCTCGTTGGAACCTAAATCGTCAGGTTTCTTCGTCAATGGAACTAAAGAAATACTTTTGTTGTCTTCATTAAAGGGACTGTCATCGGCGAAATTAAGAGAAGGACTATATTTTTGTTTTTGTGACTGAAGATGTGCTGGTTCGTCTTTCAATGATGTTTTGTCGGAATCTTGAAGCGTAAAATCCCTGTCACCCTTACCAGCCTGTTTTTCTACATCATCCGATATACTTTCTGGCGTGGCCATTAGGATTTGTTTTGGTTGAGGTGTCGAGGATGGTGTGTATGTTAAGCATTGCTACAAGAAAAAATAGTAGGTAATAGAGATATTCTATTGGTAATTTTGATTCTCCTCGTATATATAATGTGTAAAAGTGTACCTACCTTTGACGAAGTTGAATGCATAACTTCAACCTTAACCATTTGAAAATCGGCAATACACATTATTCTCAAGGAAAGTATCAGTACGTACAATAACCATGAAACGCAGCAAATATGGGAAGATGTAACACTTGCTATGAGATTTGCAAAAAATGTGGCTTTTCTCCCAGAAAAGTATATAGTATATTTGTCAATATCATTAAAACAACTAAAAAATAGTGTCGATGAAGAACACCACTTGCAAGAGTTACCTTACCTTGTAGAATTCCATCGCTTTACAAATTGAGTACAAAACTCTTGTGAGCCGTTTGTTATATGTATTGCACTTACAAACATGACTATCGCAGAAATTGCGCCAAAAATAAGGGCTGGGTAAACTATTCTCCATGGACGGGAAAATCTAAAACATACCTCATCACCATTTTCTGGCTTTAAATATTTGGACTATACTAACGTATCAGAAATGTATCCAACACCCCCTCTGGTGCATAGTAGAAATAATGCAAACCATATCAGAGCATAAATCGACGACATTAATGGGGTAAACTGGCAAAAGTAGCACATACTCTTCTTACCCCATTCTGTTGTACGTAAATTTATTGCTGAAGCTGCAGGTAGGTGATCAGCAAGCAGAGGGTACGTTTTACGCATGGTCGCCAAATCTGTGTCGTTCGTTAGAAATTCCAGATGAGCGTAAAGAAAACAGTTGTTACCAAAATCTAAAGTCAATCGTCCCATACAAAAGGCCGCCCAAAAACCACTGAGGCCTATGCTTAAAAGACAAATCAGTTGAATCCCTGAAAAAGAAATATGATATCAAATTCTCATTAGAGTTAATTATACAGTGATATACAGGGTGATTCCTATAGTACCTGCCACCGTTTGGGAGCGTATAGGGGGTGCCTAGGGGAGTATTTTGATATAGGACACTTGGGGTGGGAAATCTAAAATAAGGGCGCCAGAACCAAATTTATCTTCTGGAATTTCACGCCTGTATGTAGGCAACCCAACCGACCGACGTTTCGCGCGGAGCGATGCAGAGCGAGTTAGCGCGAGGAAGCGACATGGGAGGGAAGGAGGGAAAACGACAGTCAAAGCAATAACGTTTACAAGTGTTCAACGTGGCCACCGTTGTTCTCAAATCTCAATGCACTTCCTACATCTAGCCAACTATTATTATACTATTGCCATAGTGTTTATTCACTTGATACGCGTCGTTGCAGACGGGGTTTCGTGGGTTTAAACAAAATTCTGATCAAGTGTCAGCCACACATCGCCGCCTGAGATCGCTCCGTGTGCACCGCCGGCCGGTTGGGTTGCCTACCTACAGGCGCGAAATTCCAGAAGGTAAATTTGGCTCTGGCACCCTTAATTTAGATTTCCGACCCCAAGTGTCCTATATCAAAATACTCCCCTACGCACCACCTACACGCTCCCAAACGGTGGCAGGTACTATAGGAATCACCCTGTATATTAAGCAGTGGACAAAGTGATTTATGTGTATTGTTTTTCCGTGTATCTACTTTTAAAAGACAAAAGCTCTTCTGAAGGGCGCCTAAGTTTATGCAACCAAAATAACTTGTTATATTAATTAATTTGAATATTGTTGCTTTGGCTTCCGTATTTTTATTTTTGTTCGTGTGCGATGTATTCGACTGAAGAAAAAATTCAAATTGTCAATTGGTATAGTGCCGTTAACAGTTTAAGGAGCGTAAGAGATTTATTTTCTGTGAAGCCAAAACAACAATGTTTAAATAAATTAATATGACAGCCAGATCTTTATTTGTTTTAAGAAGATATTTTGGATGCATAAAATTAAGCGCCCTTCAGAAGAAACTTTGTCAGACGAAATCTGGAGCTCAATAAATAAACTGCTAGATTATTTTTTAAACATGTTAGTTTAATTTGTAAACCATTGTATTGATATTGATACACGACGATATCGCTGATAATTTACGAAAGTTCGAAAAGTCCTCCTAAGTGTTGTATGTGCTTAGAGAGCAATTTTACTGCAGATACTTCTAATATGAGTGAATCCGCTCGTAAGTTTAAACACGTTTAAAAATACCTGCATGAATATGCTTAAGTAGTGGCACAGTCATATTAAATTTTGGTGCTACCCATGGCGGAGATCACGCTGGAGACAATCGCGCGAGGGCTAGGGCTTTATCATTTGTTTTATACAATTTAGCTATAGCGGCAGTACAACGGTTTTAACACTTGGAATTGAAGAAAAACAAGGAAAACATTCTTTCGGTTTTATAATGTCAAGATTTTACTGCGGTAAATTGAGGTAGTTGTATTACCACAATGTATCCGGTGGTCGTTTATTTTTATTTATTTATTTATTATCCCTCTCTTGTTCTGGGCCCTCAACAGGCTTGCGCCCAATTCCAGAGTGACCCGCATAATGCTTTTTGGAGTGTAGTAGGCTTAGTAGGACAGCTTGTTTTTAGGTGAAATTTGCACAGATAAGGACTACACTGATAGTAATTAACAGATCCGGAGTAGGCTTAGTAGGACAACCAATTTGTGGGTTAAATTTATACTAATATCCATGAGATAAGAATATAAGCGTAGAAGAACAGTAGGTATACCTACTGTTTAAAGTGGCGTTTACAAAAAGTGCAAAAGTTGCCTTACGATTTCCTCAATAACTTTGTTTCGAGGTAAAAAAATAAACTTCTGTTAACGACCGATGGCTGCTGAGGGTTTAAGCTTGTGAATGAAGTTAAATTTGATAACAAATTATTATCAGTGTGTGATAAAAATGAATGATATATATTTTATATGGGAGTTTTCCTAAATAACGGCAAAAGTGGAGGAATTAGCTAAATAATTTTTGTTTCATGCTGCATGCAATTATTGACGAAAATACACAAGGTGTCGAAAAAAGCTTAATACAATACAGTTTTAAGGTTCTTTGGTGTCTACGAGGCAGTAATAATTTTAATTATACAGGGTTGGTCATAAAGGTGTGGCACACCAAAATTGCATTTTTTATGGAACTTGTATATTATTCGATATTTCAACTCTTTACCCTTTTTTTGTAGTCGGTTGCAGTGCGTACAATTACATTATGCCTTTGAATATATTTATATTCAAAGATTATGCTTAGATTTGGGATTACGCCGCCAATCATTACGGATTACTCGTAGACGCTAACTCGTCAACTCGCTCGTAAACGTTTGATTGATTGATCAAATGACACATGTCTATCAGGTTCGCTTGGGGATGTTACTAAAAAATCAATTTCAGGAGATACTGTTTATAGTGTTTATCATCGGTTGTTAGCAAAATAGATCACCAAGCCTTCTGGAATACAAGTTGTAGAACATAATGTTACACACCACATAAAAGTAACCCCAGGTCCACCTTCGCATTGCAAACCTAGGCGTTTGTCCGTGGAGCGATCTAAAGGCAGTTCAAAACGAATACAAGATTATGATACGTGAAGGCATTATTCGGCCTTCTAAAAGTACTTGGGCATCGCCGTTACATTTAGTACCTACCTAAAAAAGGAAATGTGTGGCGACCTTGTGGCGATTATAGGTCATTAAAGGTTTGAACCAATCCTGTACCATATTTTGAAAATTTTACGCAAAGTTTCTCTGGTAAAAAATTTTTCTAACATTTTCTAACACTTTTTTTGTCATAAACCTCAATTACAGTAACCTTTTGAACTATAATGCAGGGCTGTTTTAGATCGCTAACAAGAACTACAACTCTTCGCAGGGACATTTTTATTTCTGTAAGCCCTAAGTATAAAATATCGTGTTTCGCAGTTCCAAAAGTAAAGGTCATTATTATTTTCTTATTCGTCGCTGGCGACTTATTACCAAACAACTATGGAGGATTTTTACTTTTGTTACTAAAAGAGTTGAAATTCTGATTAGAGTTCCAGATGAGAGTTCCTCAAGATTCAACAAATTCCTCTAATAAGGTTTTGGATGGAAACTAGTAATAAATATATAGTTGAGGTGCTGGAATTTTGGCCACAGTTGGGGTTGAGAGGGCTGCGTAAAGCCAATACTATCGTAACTCTCTAAGATTGAACAAGAACGCTATAGAACTTCACTGGGGGCTTCCAGATAATTAGATACAATTGCAAAATGTTATAGTTTATTGAAAGGCTAACTTGTAAGTATGAAAGTGTGGCTCCACGATTTGTGAGTTAGCAAATATATTGTTTGTAAATATGAATAAATGAATGAAAACGTTATACCTACACCTTCAAAAACAAGACAACGTCGTGTGCAGCCTTGAGAGGTCACTCATTTCGTAATGGTTTCGCGCCACTTTAATAGATGACATAACGCATTAGATCATTTTGTACGCATTTTACCTATTGGATATTGTTACGTATGAATTATCGAAATTAGCCAAATAAACTAAAATAGTCCATCTAGATTAATGAAATTAGAACGACGGTTAACAGGAAATCAATAACAAAAGTACCTACTTATGAGCGCATGTTCCTGTAATGTTTATATATAGATTTGAATTTAAAAGCGTACACCTAACTAACTAAATAGACTAGAAATGCAATATTCCTTACCTTTCCATGCTATACTGACTCTTGAGGTATCGTTGTCCAACAACAAATAATACGAATGCGTATCCATTTTGAGCAATTTAAAAGACTCATATCACTGTAGAGCACTTTGGGTGTAACTACTCTAATGAGAAATTTGTGTTTATATTTATGTCATGTAAGCAGCCATAACATAAACAATAGGTACCATTTACAATAGAATACTTGTATATTTCATAAAACATGTGTCATTATTACTGAATTTCACTTTTGTGCCAACAAATTTAGCTCTCTTCGATTTTGTACGGTTTCGTTTCGACGCAGTTGCGAGGGAGTTGTGTAGATGCACTGTGTTGGTAGGTTCGTTCGAATTCTAATTGAAAGAAAGTAGTTTTCCGGACTTCCTTTGGCCTTGGATAAGCCAAGCAGCGTTTATATAAGCGTATTTATTAATCAAATGCTGCGAGAATCACAGCCGAAGCACATTTCTTAATGCTCATTTTCTTGACGTTGTTTTAGATTTTGAATTTTGAACTTAAGTACGTATCTCCGTTTTCAAAGTTAAAGTATTTGCTATTTGCAAGGCACTGATGCGTTATACAAACGAAAATGGCATCGACTATCATTTTATTCCGTGAAATTGAGAGGTTTCTAAATTTATATAAGCCATCGCCATATCAAAAATTTAGGTACCACGTAAGATTATTTTTGCCACATATATGAAAGATTATATAGGCAATTCTTACAAAAGAAACGTACTATGTGCATAGAAAATAATTCCAAAATTCATCAATACAAGCAACGACAAGGAAAAACTAAATAACCCGGGTTGATTTTTTCAAAACAGAGCAGAACCCTACTTTTTGTAGTTTTTGGTAATTGGTCTCTGTACGCTAGCGACATCTAACTATAACGTAACCGTACTACAAGGTTCCTCAAGTATTCTCCACGATCAAACTGAACAAAACTCAACCTTCCAAGATCACCTGTGTTACTTCCGCTGTATTGCTAATGTTATAATTTTTACCCAAAATCGTCCTGAAACCTTCATTTTCATGTCTACTTTCTCTTAGGAAATTTTAGTTTCCAAGACAGAGGCAGAGCAGACTACGTTTCCTGCCGCTTGTCACTTTTACTGGCCGCATCTGTCACTTTACCGGTCGCATCGACACTTTACCGGCCGCATTTGTGGCATTTCCAAATGTCTATAATGACTCCTGTCCTGTCATCACTGACAGATTGACATTAATCAAAAGTTATATATACAAATTGAAATATTATACTAAAATACGATTTCGAGTAAAATGACATTACCTGATGTGTATCATGTATCATTTTCAGGACTTTTATATAAATAACTATTACTTTCCGACTACATACGAAGTCGTAATATGTAATTAAGGAAAGTATTGCAATCGTGATAAATTTTCGATATGCAAATATTGCGTTTTCATGACGTTTTGAAGCCCATAGATCCCAAAAAGTGATTTTTGGCGTCTGTATGTGTATGTGGTTTGTTTTTTGTGAACACCATAGGCGCTTTCTTTCGATGATCCAAACGCGTTTGGATTGTCAAATCACGTTCTTTCGAAGTGTGATCTTATGATCATGATTGCTAAAATCGTGAACAAACTGAACATAAAAGTTTTATGTTTTATAATCCAAACAAAAAATAGGTAATTTGAATGCATATGTGTACTACGTAAACGTAACCATATTTTGACTTAAATTCGCGCGTTCTTTCGTAAAACGTGATCCTACGAATCACGATTTGGAAATCATGATTGCTAAACAGCCGAAAGAAAGCGCCTCATAACTAATAACGCCTGAACTGATTTAGAAGAAACTTGGGGTGCATATAGGTAGGCATAGTATGGGGAATAGAAAATGTCCTATTTTGGTTTTGATCCGTAACCATCTTCATGGTTGTTGAGTGTGTCAAAAGTTTAAAAAAGCCACAACGGCTCGAAAACAATTTTCTTAAATTTTGTTCGCATACACTGACCAAATGGGGCTTAAAAAACTCTACAAAAAAATGTATTACAATTTTTTTGTGAGTTTCTTAGTTTTTGAGAAGTTTGGAATTGAAAGGTTAAACTATTTATTTCAAAATTTGCAGTTTTCTCGAAAAGTAAGCATCAGACTGAAAAATGTTAATTACACAAAAGGTTCATGAGATCTACAAAAAAGTCTTATACACTTTTTACGTCAAAGGCGACAGAGAGCATTTTCTAAATGTTATACTATATGACCAAAGATCATTATTGCCATTACTATATTAAAAGTACTCGGAAAGTTAAATCAGGTATCAGGAGTTTACCTACCTGAGAACTAATTTTCATTGAAATTGTTTGTTGTCGTTTGGTAGCTATAATAAAATGTTGGCCTCCTGGTTTAAATTTTTGATCGTTTCACTTGAAGATTATGTTTATTGGATTTTAGTTTTTTAATTCGGCGTGCAGTTACCCCCCCCCCCCCCCCCCCCCCCCCCCCCCCTCATTCGATGTTGAAACTTTTCATGCTTTCCTCCGCATAACGTTTGTTAATTTTGAGTTTAAAGCTTAAACATGGCCCTCCGAGGTCGAAATTTGTTAATCTGTTCACATGGAATCCTTTGTTGGCTTCTCTAATAGCCTCATCAGTAAAGATCAACAAAGGTCTAATAGAGGAAAAAAATCATGTAGAACACAGTTTTCGCACATTTAGTAGGGTTCCTTTTTTAGTGCACTTTCACTTTCAAAAAATAGAAGTGCACAAAGGCTCCGGAACTACCCCACTTAGGTACATACTTGATATTGGTGTCATTCGATCAGTCAGTTAAGGCGAAAAATTATTTCAGTAAAAAAAAGGGCTTCTCCGTAGGTTCGTGGATGTTAAAAGTTAATAATTAAACTGGAATATTTTTTGTCAGTGGTTAGGACGAAAACATAAGAAACTACCAGCCTAAATTATTTTTTATATTGATGCATATCTTTGGTCTAAGAATTACGTAAGGTGCACGGTCCTTTCATAGAACTTCCCGTAGTATTTATAGAGCGTTATTATTTTGTTTATAAATAGACCAATCAAGCTCTTAATGGGTTGGTCGTCGTGGGGCTGTGCGCAACACCAATACTTGTCGTACTACTACTAGTGTAATTCATTTGTTATTGTTATGTTTTATTAGATTACCTACGGGGTGAGAACTTTATAGTTGAGTCCTCGCAAGTCGCACCTCTAATTTCACTCAACCGGTCGCAAATAAAAGTCATGATGTCAATTTAAAATCCACATATAGTAAAAAATTTAAATTTTGTATGAAAATACAGACCACTCTTTGTGTAACATATGAAAAGAAAATCAGTTAAATTAGAGCAATTTTCGATAAATAAAAATAATCGGCAGAGATCTGATTTTGCCATATATCGGGTGGTGCACGATAAGTAGGAACATAGGGATTTAACATGGAGAATTAGATTTATGCAATATCCTGCCCTCCTGTACATTTTACAGAAAAAACTGTAGAGTTTAAAGTTGTTCAGAATTAAAAGGTGCATGCAAAACTGATCTTACATGTTTTATTAAGCTTTTGGTATACCCGCAAATTTAAAAATAAATTTCAACATTTCTGGTATTAGTAGCAATTATTCATAAAACAACAAAAGTTATTGCTATTAATTTTATTTTATTCTGAACAACTTTAAACAGTTTTTTTTGTAAAATGTACAGGAGGGCAGGATATTGCATAAAACTAATTTCTCATGTTAAATCGCTATGTTCCTACTTACCGTGCACCGCCCGATATGTGTCTATGGTCCCATACGACAAAAAATATAGTTTATTAAGTTGTCTAAAAAGCATTTTATTTTAGCTGTAATTTGACGTTGAATAACAAAATCCGAGACAAAATCTATATAAATAAAAATAAATGTTTGTAGACATGTATGTACGTTTCTTATGCCTGCCTAAACTGTTTTTTCGCATTACGATGGAACTTTAGGAAATTTTTGGATGTATTTCCGCAAAGGTTTCAATACAGGGTGTTACATGCCCGCATGTAAACAAAAATTGGGTCATAGAGGGGATCAAGATAAGCCCTGAGATAAGCACTTTTTCCAAATAAATAGAGGGTCCAACGTGTTTCGTTTGGGAGCCACGCCCAAAGAAGTAATGAAATTTGGATTTCTTTAATTTTTTTCTCAGCAACCATAAGAGTTACAAAGATGGGTGGCACATCTTTGAATAGGTTTTCGGGTATGTCCTATCCGATTTTGAAAATTTTTTCCAAAATTCCTACCACGAAACGGCGCACCCCTACTTGGGGGTGCGAAAAGAAATTCTGATTTCGACATTTGGGATCTGGGGGTTTTTGAACATGAAAATCGGGAATCTGGAATTAGATTTTGAAAATTCAAAAAAAAAGTTACATCATTGGCTTGGGTCATACTCAAGCCTGCGACGTTGGAAAGTTGGAAAATTCTGAGTAAAACGCATCGATTATATATTTATGTCATTAGCAGAAAGTAGTATTTCACTTAACCTTGCCAATAAGGTAACAACCTTATTGTAATTATCCTAGGGGTCCCCCCAGGGGTCCCCCAAACCGACACTAAGATGTTGACTTATCCTATACTTACTTACAGTTGGCAATTCTGGGAAAAACTACGAGCAGGGCCACCTACCTTTCAAGTCGAAACGACAGACGCTTAGCCGCATTTTTGAATCTCAGTAGCAGTCAGCCCGATATGCATATGGATGGCACAGATGCACTCCTACGTTGTGTAATAGGTTCTTTTATGTGTTGGCACGGGAGACATAACGGAAAGAGAATTAAATAAAATGCAGAATTGTGTGCGCTAGTAAAAAAAAGTAAAAACAACAAGGCAATACCAGGAAAACCTCCTACGGGACAAAAACCCTGACATGCCTACACAAATACATGAAATATATCGACAACAAAATGCAAGTGAGAAAAATTCACAAATAAAACATCTCAAATTGTACGATAAAAATGAAGTTATCGGATCAAATGCAGTTAAACAATTCATAAAAAAAACAATATAACAAATGAGACATCATAAATCGATTAAAATACATGTACGATCAATTGAGATAAAATAACTCTTAAAATGATAAATCGCATGTATGTAGATAGAAAAAGATCATTATTAAATTAATTAAACACGAAAAGTACATGTGAGAATACCAATAGTCGATTTAGTATATTTTGAACTAAAAATTAAATTCACTTTTCAAAAACCAGTTTTCAATCAAACACTTTAGTAATAAACGGTCTTTTGCGATAAATTCATGAAATCGACAGTCATTTCAGATCATACATCGCGTCATTAGATAAATTTTTCCCCAAAAAGTGTTTCCAGTTA